TCGATCACGAGCCCTATGCTAGGCATTATCTGTCTCTTATACACATCTAGATGTGTATAAGAGACAGGGTAATCTTCCAAATAATACCATTTTATGAGTTTTTAAATCTTCACCACCAAAATCGTATTTTCCCATATTTAAAATTGCTTTCATTGATACAACATTTAGTTGCTTCATTGCAATAGTAAGCTAGCGTGTTAAGCTGGTTTTTCACTAAGCGAATTTATTCGCGCGAATCAAAGATTCGGCTCGCTTCCTGAGCTCTGATTGGTTGCGCATTTTTTCGTTTCTCAAAAAACTCCGATAGGAATGTGAATGCGCATGTGCATAAGCCGACGCTTTGGATTCGCGTGAATAAATTCGCCTAGTAGAAAACCAGATTTACGGACGATCCGCACATAAGACGAACATCTGCACAAAAGACGAACATGAATATAAAAATCTAAAATCTGAATGTTGTGCGTATAAAGGCCAACTCAGACAGCGTCGGCCGACGCAGCCCGACCCGATTTATCGTCGGGGACAGTCTTGAGCCGTCGTGAGAAATATTAAACACGTTTAACATTCTACTACGCGACTGCCCCCGCGTTTAATATTCTACTACGCGACTGCCCCCGACGCACACCATCGCGTCTGCGTTCAACTCACACAGACCCGACGCGACAACAAATCGCGTCGGGCTGCGTCGGCCGACGCTGTCTGAGTTGGCCTTAAGACGACCCCCTTTTTTCGATCGTAGTTTGCTATTTAAATCCTCGTTTATACGTGAGTATAGGCCTATACGGTATTTGTTTTAAAACCCTATGTCACCTGAGCGTTAAAGGATTCCCCTTACAGTGGCGGATTCAAGGGGGAATTTTCCATGGGGAGGACCCCCGGACCCCCTTTCATTTTGGGTATTTTTGGAAACGTTTTGATCTCCCCTCTTCCAAATCATGGATCCGCCCCTGAATCATGCACCTTTGTTTTCACTAAACACTTAATCTATGTTCCCCCTTTAGCTGATGTGAGGTAAGAGAGTTTATTTAAAAGATAAGTTACATTTAATAATTGAAATTGTTCGGATGAAATACATATTTTTTATGAAGTTCAATGCAAGTTGGTACCATACTGTGTGTCTTTGTATATGTTCCATTCTAGTGGAGGTTCTATCTCTTTTGAATTTCTTTTGAATATAAATTAAATACTGTACTTAACTGATTTATTATTGTCCACTTGAATTGTATAGCCCTAGGTGCTGCAGTGTTCTTTATGTAGAGCGCCATATATAAATGCTCGATGTGCTTATCCGGGTCCGATGGCACCTCCAATTTCAAGCAAGTGTTGCAGAGACTCTGGAGTTAGGTTGCATATGAGAATGAAGAAGATAATTCTGATAGCAACATTGATTTATTGCTTTAAGTACCGCGACAATAACATTCAGAAGCGAATTTAGAAAGTTTAGATAAAAAGTATTTATTAAAGTTTTCATAGGTTTGTTTTAACGCCAGTTTGTGTTACCTAACTATGTAAATTAATTCATTCTAATTAAAGAGAGAGAAACGGGTTGACCAATAACAGGACCTTAAAATGTTTGCTATAGATCGACTACAATGTACGTTATATGTAATACATTTAAATCAATTTAGATCAATCTTAATGATCTGATTTTAAATAGCAGAAGCGGATTTAGGGCTGTCTCTTATACACATCTAGATGTGTATAAGAGACAGGTATACATGTATTTTATGGTGATAGATTAATTAAAAGAAGTTTAACATTGTTCTGTGTATATTATTTGAATTTCTTCAATTTCAAACGAACGGCCCCTGAATTTCCTGTAATTTTTGCAGTATTTCAAATGCATATGTAACCACATAACTGTCTTCTAATCGGATTAAAATCTGGCCGAATTTTGGCCGATATTGAAAAAAGTTTGGCCGAATTTGGCCGTGAGATGGCGTGTGTTTGGCCGTGAAGCCTGTCTGGCAACCCTGTTCTTGGCAGCAATTTGACCTCTGAAAGGTCATTGTTTGTCAAAAAACAAGGGCCTAAGACGACTGAAAAGCGGAGTTTCCTTCTTTCGTTCTGCCGGGTAAAATCAATTACTTTAGGCGACGTTTGTAGACTAACCTACTCGAACCAACGTCCGTAGGTCGCGCTAGCCTTATCCTACTCTAGGCCTAGACTAGCTAGGATGGTATAGGCCTAGCCTTGAAGGGACGAAGGTCCCAATGATAAACAACGTCGCTCTTTGATAGCTAACATTGTCTATTTAACATCACAATAATTCATTATTAGACCTATAGTTGTTTTTTGAATTGTACAAATCTCAGCCGATACCTCGCACAACTCGTTAACGTCTCTACTATTGTCGTGATGTCATGGCTCGCTCGCTCACACTTGTGATGTCTCGCACTTGTGATCAAATAACACGCTGGCTCGAACT